AAGCATGTTATTCATACATGCATGTCACTAATTGAGCTCCTCATAACATACCCACCCATGTCTATTCTTACTTCTCTACTCTAACAACTTAATTATTATTATTATATTTTTAATAATTGTAGTAATAGTAGTAATAATAATAGCAGTAGTAGTAGTAGGGTTAGAATTATCTCAATTTAAAATATTTATGGAAGGTTTCAAACAAAATGTAATAATTTTGCACACAGAAAAAATTGGGCAAGTCATTTTCAAAGGATAGCCTGCCGACGAAGACTCAGCTGGACCTGATGGACAGTGTGGAGCGAGCCAACAGAGTGGAAGAGTGCATCTACTACAAGATGTTCGCCAGCGAAGAGGAAGTTGAAAGGTACAAAGCAACGAGGCGATCCCACTTAAACACAAATGAAGACAATCGTACTGGTGCTAATGAAATCTGTAAAAGTGGCGCTGATGTGAACAAAGTTTTCGAAAATCAATTTTCGCTGCAACAATCGGCAGAACAGCCAACCCCGCCACTGACAACATCGCAACGACATAAAAGTCTGCAACAATCAAACAAACAATCAGCTAAAAAAGAGTCATTAGAACCGAAGGCACAGAAACCAACGAAGCCATCATTAAAATTATTTTCACGACCGCTAACAATCAAATGTTTGTCTCATCAAAAATCTTCGCTACCAGCTTTTCAGTCCCAACCTGCAAGTGTAGAGAAGGAACTAGAGATGCACGCACGAGAAAAAATCAACAAGGTAGACAGCGAGATGGAAAAATCATTGGAAACTAAAAACATTTCCAGCAAGAATATTGTAAATGCCAGAGAATCTGAAAATCGGGATACAGAAGCACAACAAGATGAACAAAACAATACTGAACAGCTGCACATCAAACCAAATGGCAGTGACCAGAAAGATGAAGATGAAAAACAATGCGACGACAACGACGCCACTTTAGTAAACACCACAGAGACCACAGAGTTCCATACGGCCATCAACGGCGACCTCAGCATCGCAAATATCAGCAGCATCACAGGTACCTCGCGAGCTCCGTTGCAGAAGCACGAACTACCTTCAACCTTCAACTTGGACTACAGAAACATCGACAGACAATTAAAGAAGATACGTGAGGACGGCAAGAACGTCGGTGATGGGAATGACAGTGACGAACTCTATCGAACCTGCAACCTTGTGTTCAGCAGCACCTTCAACTACCCACTACACAGCACCGTCCTTCCTTGCGACAGCTCTTCACTTTACTCGCTCGAAGTGCCATACTGCTCTGGTGATGAATATGATCATTATTATGATGAAGTTGAGACCGACTGCACTGATAAAATTTTTGTGTCAATGGATAACAACAAACAACAACAGGTTACTGACGTCGCAAAAATACACGCAGATGGACGCACCGGCGTTATGGAAGTTGAGACGAAAGATAAAAATGCGATTGCATTTGAAAAAAGATTGAATGAGGCGAAGAGACTTAAAAACCGTAATCATCCTCTGACGTCATCATCATATTCCGTCATGTTAAATTCATCGCAGTACGATGAAGATGAGGATGATGCTAAGATGGAAGGCAATGCAAGGGTCCGACAACAAAAAATTAATCCCACAGGAAAACAATTTGTATGTCACCAAAATAAAACTGCCAAGAAACAGCTCAAGAGACAACAGGTCGTGCGGTTTCCTGTTCATCAGTTATCTTCAGGAGAGTACAACGTCAATACCGATCACAATGTTAGCTATAATACAAACAACAACAAAAAAAGCACCGACAACAACAACAAATCTACAAAACTACAACGACAATCAGCCAAAATAGATCTTACTTGCATTCAAGAGGAATTTGTCGATAACCAAAGAAGCGTACGCACTAAGAACTTCTCAACAAAAAACAATATTAAGAGCAACAAAAGTGATATAAAAATAGTCGATGATCGAGAAGTTGGCGACGACAACATTGTGAACGAAATGGACAGGGAGAACGGCAACACCAACAAAAGAGGAAGATGCAGTGTGAAGCATTGCAAGAAGCACCACAAATACATGCAATACATCAGACAAAGACATCGTCATGCAAAGCACTTCACAAACAACCAACTTGCTACCAACTACAAAGTGAACAGAAATGATCTGAAATCGACTGATGGAGATTACTTTCTCATAAATGGTTACAAAGTTACTGTCGTTAAGAAGAATGTTGACAAAAATATCATCAATTATTACAAAGCAAGTGATAGCATACATTTCTGCAACGAGGGATACATCGACAACGACAACAACGTTAACGGCGGACAAATTCCCAGTCAGAAAAACAACTATCGCAACAACAACAAAAGCATAAACAACACTGACAACATTAATGCCATAAAAATTGACAGCACTATGAAAAACCCCAACAAAGACAACAGCAGAAACGACTACCCGTCAAGCAACATCAACAGCCACAATCCAGTGGACGACCTTCCTCTAGGAAGAACACCTTCCAATAGAACTTCCTTCACTTACTGTGAACAACCGCAGCAGCAGCAGCAACAACAACTTCAGCAGCAACAGCAACAACAACAACAACCTCAAGAACAACATCGCCGTTATCACGTTAGTCATCGCAATTTAAAATATTTGTGCTCAGTGAAGGAGAAGTGCATGTTGTTCGATGAGGAATTTCAGCGCATCATGGCGTCTTCCAAGGCAGAAAATTTCCTGAAGAACGAAAACATCAATGACGTCATCAACAGCAAGAACTACAAAATCTTCCAACCGTTTCCGCTCATCTACAGCTGTTAAGTTGGGATCGTGTTGCGTTCATCGTGTGCTGGCAATGATACCAATTAAAAATAATTTTATCACTTGTTATCCGTAAGATCATTTGTGTCGTTATTTATAACTTTCAAATGAGATTCACGTGTTGAGTTATTTATGCTTTATGGCAACTGCATATGAATGTGCTTGTTTGGATGCTTGCAGTTTGTGCCTGCATACCTATCTGTATTTATTTGTATGTGTGTTTGTGTATATGAGTGTCGGTGTTCATTAATGTTTATGTTTTGGTGCATATTGGTATGCTTTTGTGTGTTGTGGTTGCTGTTTGTTCGTTCGTTTGTTTGCAGTACATGTATGTTCGCACGTGTCAACCTTACTCAGTTTCTTCTCGGTGTTTACGAATGTTCTTGTATATATATACACGAGTAGTTAATTAATAAATAAAAGCTGATTGTGTTCATAAGTTTTAGTGTGTGTGTGTGTGTGTGTGCGTGTGTGTGTGTGTGCATGTGAATTCATGTCATTTTGTATTTGTTGATGCTTGACATAGAAGCTGATTGTGACCCAGTTTGTTGCATATTTATATAATAATAATAATTATTATTGTCACATATTTGCTTGAATGAACGCGTAAGAATTTGATTGAATTCGAAATTATTTTTTCTCCTCATTTTTGATTAGGACGTTTGAATTGAATTGAAACTCACAAATTTCCTGACATGTACTTTATTACGATGAGAATGTGACTTTAAATTTTTATAACTCCAGGACAGTTTAAAAATATGAAACGACGGCAAAATCATTAAAAATAAAATTAAAGGACCCGCGCGGCCTGTGTTTGTATGCTATGTTGACTTTTCATGTGCAATAAATCTTTTGATCCTTTCAATGGACAGCAATTGAATTAAATGAAAACACCTCCATTCCACAGTTTTTAATGTATTCATCTGGGTGTTCGTCCGTGTATGTTTTTACTTTTGTGTTTTTATATGCGTGTTTGAAATATAAAAAAAACACAAAGACATGAAAAATAAAAAATTCGTTATAAATGAACGACGCGAGTGCAGATTTAACGAACCATTAAAACAACATAACAGAAGAACGATGTAAAAATGTGCTGACGTGCTGAAATTCCTATCAAATCATCAGTTTCAGTAAAAATAATAAAGTTAGCGTAATAACCTCAACGTCGTTTTTGCAAGAAATGTGCCATGCACCATGTCGTCAAACGCATCAAGCAAATTTCATTAACATCGACAGCACCATTGCACCGACCAACATTAAATCAATCGTATTGCCAACATTCTCACATCAACATAAATAACATTAAATCAATAGCAACATCAGTGTTATACATCGATATGAACCTTATCACATCAACGCTAGCATCATCACATCAAACCAATGCACACAAAGACATTAAGATATTTGAACGAGCAGTTGCGAAGACTCACACGAGCCCACATGAGAGACGGTAATAAAAATTTGAAAGAGGGCAATGAAGAGAATTCGTCACGCTTCAGATTACAGTTAACTCCAATTCGACCCACATCACTCAATGCGTTCTTTAGAAGTTCACTGTCTTTTTGTTTGTTCATTGTATACTTACCGACATTTCCAAAATGCTCCGATAAATTTTTCTTTTAACATCACCTTGAAAACTATAAAAAAACTTATCAGAAAAGTAGAAAGTATCAGAAGCAAACCCTCTTGTATGATGAGACCGGCTTCCTACTGTAATCAACCCAACATCATCGCGCTGTTGTTCTACTTTCCTGTTTATTGTTCAACGTAAGAACAATTTTTTATACATTATACATTTTATAAAAATGTATAAAATAAATATAAAATTTAAAATGATGGATAAAAATTGTTGATTTGGTAGAAAGGTAACGACGACGATAATAATGGCGTAATATTCACAGTCTCCATATAAAAGAGAATTCAATCACGAAAAATTATTTTTTTTTGCAACAAATACCATGGAAATTTTCCATGGGAGGCAGTTTTGTGGCGTTTTTGTAGATCTTACATAAAGCGTGTAGATCTAATTTTGTGGTAGGTTTTCTTCTATGTTTTTGTATTTGTTGTGATTGCATTCACAATTTTTAAAAAGGTTGGTTTCGCGACAAACGGTTAACTGAAAGCATCAACACAAATGAATGGCTATGTAACTTTCTCAACCATTCAATGAAATCAACTAATTACGTTCCATTGTTTTATTCTTCGTAATAAAGTATTTTTATCTCTACTAACTAAACTAATCGAACGTTGTTTTGGCATAAATCATTTATAAATATTGAACGTGGTTTGTAATGCTCGTATGTATGTATATAAGATGAATGTTTATTAGTGGTATACAATCATGTGTGTGCAGTTCAAATAGCCAACGTACGAAACAATGTGATAAACTCAATAGTGCCTATAACATCAAAGGTATTGAATAACGGAGTTTTCTATCATAAAACCTGATACATCTCGTATCCTTTGTTTTGTACAAACTAACAATGCACTCGCACTTGGCCAAACAACAGTTTTCTCTGGGTTTGTGTGTGTGAGTGTGTGTGCAATCGTTTCTTTATATTTATGCGTTCAAATGCGTTTTTGTTCACATGCATGTATTAACCAGCATGTGGATGAATGCATATTTTACTTATCTATGCACCTGCACTGGCTGCCGATTCATCAACGTATCAAGTATAAAATAGCTTATCACATATAAAACACTCAACCATCATACCTTCACAAACTCATTCGCCGTCGCTCGTCTGTTAATCATCGCCGTCACCTTCGTCTGCCGTCGTCATTACAACTGCATCAACCAGTCAATACATCAGCTCTCGTCAATAAAGGCTTCTCACATTGCTCACCATCAATATGGAACAGTTTGCCACTCATCATCCGTCAACAATCATCAATAGAAACGTTTAAAAAGCGATTGAAGCAGCATCTGTTTGAACAGGCCTTTGGCGGCTGTGCTGACACTTGTTTATCCGGGCGCCTCGGACGCTATGCATAGGGCGCTCATAAATGACATTATTATTATTTTTATGTATTGTATAATGTTTATACGAATATAGATTTTTCAAGTAATTTAATTCAACTACATTTTTCAAATAACAGATAACTTGAAGCTCATCATTTTTATTGATCATCATCCAATGTTTTCACTCTTAAAAATAAATGCACGCAAAACTGCCTATCTGCCTCTTGGGAAAGCATTTTTAGAAAAATCCTAAATTTTTATCTGTTAATGTACAGATATGTGAGTATGATACTTGATGATACCTTTCCTCTAATCATCCGGGACCGCACCGAACTGCCACACTCGAGTGATGACAGAGTGCAGCCAACTAGCACACGTATGTCCACCTGATTTAAGCATCTCCGGCTCTTTAACGTCCCTATAGCCGCGACAATCTCAGCTACGGAAAGAAGTTCAGTGGCAACTCCGGGGTCTGGAGCAGTAGATTCAGCAAAATCCAGCAATTCCTGCGAGGGCGCCGACATTGGGCGGTTGAGCAACTTGCTGTAGTATTTTCGCCATCTCTCTAGCTGTCCGCTTCCGTCACTAATCAACCGGCCAGTACCATTGAGAATAGAGCTAGAGACAGCCGGGTTTGTTAATCTAAGTTTCCGGAAATGACCAAAAGCGTCCTTGGTCTGTCCATTTAGCAAGACTACTTTACCACTGTCCCCAGTTTGTCCGCCCAAGCCTGACAATCCCTACGCAGCTGTCTCCTGCACTCCCCACGTCTACTTGCCGTTTCGTTTCGATTAGTCGCTTGTTGCGGTTGAGATCCTTTCATGACGCATAGGAACAGCATGACTAAGAACCTTATCAGCCGTTTTTGTCATCGCATCACGAAATGAATCCCACGAGAACTCATCTTTAGAAACAGTGATGTTGTGGCAGTGACGTTATTTTATTTCGCAGAAGACGGATGTTGAATCTAAGGGGAGGTCTAGTTTTAGCCACAGTGCCATTAAGAGAGATGGTTAAAGTGCTACGATGAAGGGACTACGGTGAACAGCCCAATTTATGACCCTTCTTTGCGGTCCTGAAGGGGGGCGAAGGTGGATAACTAGCGTCTCAAAACTTGTCGCTTTGGGTTGATGGGGCTCGTTACCCACCCATCTAGGAAAAGGTAAACTCTGATTTCAAGCCTCCACTATCTTGTGGCTATACCTTTTCTAGTGGAAGGCTAAGGGAGTTAACAACAACAATAACATAGTACTTATTTATTGTAAGTTATATAATAACATACTTGATTCTGGTTATTTCATGCTTTTCAAAATGTAAATGTTATATTTAAAAAGTTGAGTAAAAACGTGTTAATCAGTAGATAGCAGAGACAAAATTTATTACATTCGCTAGGGCATTTTTTTCAGTAGCGAACAATGAGGTAGTGCTTGCAAATCTTTCAGTCCTTGCTCGCAGCCAGACATCAGTGTTAGCATTTTGTTATGGTGCTCTATTGTTCTCCATCACATAATGTTGGGTATGTTGTTCAACATTTTCTACCATATTATGGTGTTTGCGATTCTGGTTTTATTGATTCTTCGCCATATTATGTTGTTCTGTTTTAATGTTTCTCAATTTGTTTTTTGGGTTGGGAACTTATTTTACTCACTTTGCTTGTTATCGCCTCCTAGATTGATGACCATTTATGATATATTTTTATCAACCAACAATAGTAGTAGTTGTAGTAATGCTGTTCTGGAGGTTATCCAAAGAGCATGCTGTCACTGTCAGGCATGCTAGCACAGCTGATTCGTTGATTGATTGTTGTTCATCCAACAGTCAATGCCTGCTTTGAATTTGTTCATTGATTGTGCCTCAAAAAGTTCATTTGGTAATGAGTTCCAAATATTTGCGAGTCTAATATAGTTCTCTTTGCCTCTGTCTTGTTAACTCTTTAAAATATTTCAAACTGTGACTTCGCGTTTTGGTTTTGACTTTGCTAAAACGATTATTTAAATCAACTTTGTCCAAATTATGCTTGATTTTAAACAACTGAATC